GCTAAGAATCTTTAGCCTTCCCCACGCTCAGGTGGTTCCATGGGGATGGACACACTAGGAGCAATGACACCTGACATTTATCCAGCCCCAGCTCTGTGGGAGGCTGCAGCTGACGTGGTATCACCACAGCCAAGGATGCCATCAACACTTCAAACAAGTCGTAAAGAAATGAAAACTTTAAGAACCCTCATGTCCCGTGGGGAGGATGTGCCAGGGTGCAACCAGTATGTAGGATGAGATTATGTTGTTTGCAGAAAATCGATGGAACTGGACATCGTGTTCAGTGAGATAAACCAAAAGTCAGACAAACACTGAATGTTTTCCATCCTACTCAGAGCCTACACCTAGGAGGAAGAGGAGAAGGACAAAGAAGAGGAAGACAAGGAGGAAAGGAAGAGGAGGAAGACAAATCAGAGGAGGAGAAAACATACAGAATGTAAGAAAGACTGTCTAGGGAAAACCAGCAGGAGAGCTGAGGAAAGGAATGATGACTGGGCGGTGAGCACACTGAAAGCAATCACATCAGTGTAATGAATCCTCTTAACACGTGTGAAGAAAGTACAGAGGAAGGGGGTGGGGGAGACGAGAGTGAATTTCATCAAAACATACTATATGTGCTTATGAAAATATCACAGTGAAACTCCTCGGCGCAATTAATATGTGCTAATAAAAATGTTTCAGGGAAACATTTTTCATCACTGTACATTAAAACTGCTAGACAACATAAAGACACATTAGTGTGTCATCATATTCCATGCTAACAAAGAATTTGTCAACAGAAAACGTGCATTCAACCACGGGGATGAGAAATCAGGTCCTTTGCTGGGTTACTTCGCTGAAGAACATGCATGCTTTTGCATTGGATGTTGAATCCCGAATTAAGGCTAGGATCAACATGTAAGGTGTGTGGGTAGACAAAGTGCCAAGAAACATGCTGCTCATCTCCAGTGCACAACCACCACCACCCCAAATCAACCTTGCCTCAGATTGACTGAAACCTGAACTTCTGCAGTGGCCATTACCTTCCTCTGTTTTCGCTCAGGTCCATGCCTCTAGCTAGCTCTTAAAAGTTTGAGAAGAAAGGATCACATGAAAGCCAGAGCAGTAATAAATAACTTCCATGCTCCCATTTCCTCTGGTCCAGGCAGATATTGATCATTGATCCCGCAGAGACCAGATGAGGCCACACAATCTTCAATCAGTGCTCTGGGCAGCCACAGTTGACTGGATCTGCCCCTGATTTTATCTGTCGCTTCCAATATCGGGTCCATAAACATTGATTATAGTCCACAGTATGCCAGGCAGGAGGCTCGGATGATTCCCTAAGAACAAGAGTGGAAAAACACAAGGCATCAAAACCAAACTTTGTCCTATATTTTTAGCCTACGATTTTGCCCAGAGTTGGCCATAGTCAAGCTAGAGACTGAACCCATATGAAGAGGAAAATGAACACACAAATTATACTACATCTACACAGTAGAATACCGAGAAGAAAAAAAATAATTACAGGTCTAATGCTCCAACACGGACCAATCACAGACGATAATGACTAGTAAAAAGAAAAAAAAAAACAGAAAAGCAAAAAATAAGCTAGTCCCAAAGTCCCTCTGAGGAAGCAAGACAGAAGGACAGGAGAACATCACAGATGTAGATACAAGTTACAAGCAACGTCTGTGTGCTGACAGCATTCTGTCACCATGACAGAATGTCGGAGGAGATTATCTTATAAATAAGGCTTACTTCAGGTGCTTAGTTTGGCGTTTCAGTGCTCTGAGCCTCTGCTGGGGCTGCCACACGGCAATAGTGGGAACGTGTGGCAGGCAACCTGTTTACCAATGGCCAAGGAGGGGGATGGGGCAGGGCCCCACGATTTCCTTCAAGGCACGCCCCAATGATCCAGAGACCCCTGATGTCTCACCTTCTAAAAGTCCCATCGCCTCCCAATTGTACCATCCCACTACATCCTTTTAAACACATGAGCTTTGGGGGAACACTCAGTTCCACTTATTGGGTGAATGAAAGATCTTTAGATATCCATTGTATTACAATAAATAATTAGAGCCCAGCATGGATTAAATAGTGAGACTGTGGAACAAATCAAGGATTATAGGTGATCCAGTTTTGCGTGCTGAATCATGGAAGTCAACCTAAGGTTAATAAAAGCCACCACCTACACGGCCCCAAACACCAGGAGTGCAACTCGTCCCAAGAATTCCATCAAGACAGAATCTGATAGACAAGAAACATGGGCAGAAAGGACAAGGCATGAAACTCACATCACTGGCTTGACGAACACAAATCCTAGAAACCCCAAAATTAGTCAATTCAGTGAAACAATTCACATTACTCACATCTTTCTCGACTTTCAAAAGGAAGTTGGGAATACCCTGGGGAACACTTTACTTCTAAAAATTCAGGAGAGTAAATAGAAGAAATGTTGTATAACTTGTTTCTAAGAGAACTAGACGAACAGATTGACAGTATTCATAGGTTAATTAGGAAATTTGTTGGTGCTGTTGAGAGACTTGGCATATTTTAATTCAGATTGACATTCCTCAAGATATAGACATAAATGATGTTCATTCAATAGTTGTGAGATGTCAAAGAGCCTATGAGAGACAGACGTCTAGAAAAAGCAGACAGTCCAGGCGTACAGAAAAGACACTCTGGATCGCTTCCGATGTTTTCCAATCACAGCCTCATCCTTGGAAACAGACTCAGGATGTGAAACGGATGCATGCCTGAGATAAAAGAAAAGACTTAAAAGAGAAGGCCTATTAAGCTGATTTGAAACTAGTTTAAAAGGAATCCTCTAACCAGGTTTGTACTGTGGCTAACATCTTAAATATGGCCACCACAGCTGTAAGGGGGGCCTGGAAAAGGCTGCTTAATTATTTAGCACGTTATCCACTGGGCTGAATTCTAAAGAGTGAGATAAAAAGGGCAGACTCTTGGCGGAGTGCTGAAGTCGTGTCTCCACAGCCGCTCCGAAACCATTTCAGAACCAGTTGGTCTCTCCTTGGAGTTGCTCTATTCATCCCTTTACCCTCGTCCTCCCAACAGCCCCAGGAGATGACGGCTCTCCTTACCCACATCTGAGTGGAGAGCTACAGAGCTAAGTAACATGGGAGCAGCACCTCCAGGACAGAAGCTGGACCTCCTTCACCCCTAAGACACAGCCCGGCCTTATCAAGACAACACGGTGGCAGGGGTGGAGAACAGTCAGTCTCCAGAGACACCTAGCGCAGGTACATTTTTACTGGACTGTTTAACTACTTGTGAGTCCTGCTTTCAGCTGAGCCTGATGTCCTCGTGCCTAAGGTTCTGAGTTCAATCTTTCCAGACCACGAGCACCCACCTGTTAGCTCTGGAGTGAGAGACAGAGATGCTGGACTCATCCGTGGAGGAGAGACTCTGGGCTTCCTGAAAAGGACTTGCAACCCCTCCTGCTTTTACCTGCATCTCTCAGAGGTCCCCTTACCCCCAGTTCTTGAGGCTTCATCGGGTCTGTGACTCCATGCAGCCTATATCTGGTTTCTTCCTCAGAAAGCTTGGGGTTTGCTTTGTCTATTCTGCAAAATTTGTGACCCTAACTGTGCACTGTACAGTCTCCAGGGGGGTGACTTACAGTGAGTGTGTTTTCCTGTTCTCTTTATCCTTCTAAAGCTAGGCCTTCTTATTCCATTATTAACACTTTATATAACTTTTTGGAGGAAGCGGTTATAAATATGCTTGTTTACTCTACCATGCTTGACTCTTCTGAAACAAGACTGTGTGTATTAACCCAGGTGCTGGTGGCTCACACCTGTAATCCTAGCTACTTAGAAGGCTGAGATCTGAGAATCAAGGTTCAAAGCCAACAGAACAGAAAAAGTCCATGTGACTTTTATCCTCAATTACCCAGCAAAAGGCTGGAAGTGGAGGTATGGCTCAGTAGAAGAGTATCAACCTTATTGAAAAACAAACTTTACAATTTAGGTGGGGAAGGGGGAGGGGAGGGGAGGAGTGTAGTTGTAAAGGTGGGAGGGAAGGGATGGAAGGGGAAAAACAAAGGAGGAGGTAACAATGCTTGATATGAAATGTACTCATTACCTTGCTCGTGTAACTGTAACCCCTCTGTACAGTATTTTTACAATAAAAAATGTATTTTAAAAAAGAGTGTTAACCTTAAGCAAGAAGCCAAAGGAGAACTTGAGGCCCTGAGTTCAAGCCTTAGTACTAGCACAAGAAAAATTAATGAAGTGTATGTGGAAAAGAAAATTGTATGCCTAAGTCCTGTGTGCCAATGGTTTTACACACGTGTACTTTCAACATTTAGAGCTCACGGCTCTGATTGTAAATAGGAGATCTGCGTCTTTTCTGCAAACATATTTCCAGTTAGGACTGCCTGTAAACAGATGTTCCCTTTCAAGACTGGAGAAAGAAATGAGAAAATCCAGCCCAGCCATCCTCCATTGTTCATCTTGGCAATAACCAGGTCATCATTTGCAGTGCGAGGTAGGTTATTTTTTTTTTTACAAAGCTTCCCACGGCTATTTTAGAGCTAGATTATGAAATGTTGGAGTCTACTAAATTGTACCATTCCTCCGCACTCCAGACTCTTTGTAACCTACATTTTGAAATTGCACAATAGAGGAATCATATTTCACTTGAAAAGAGAATAGATGCAATTTCTTGCAACTGTCCATTCACACCAAAGTCAAGTTAACAACCCAGTTGTCTGGGTTGTGTTTCTGGAGCCCAAAAGGGAGAACTTCGCTGATTTCTGGCATTACCTAAATGTGCGGCTCTTGCACCTGACCTTGCTCCTAGCCTGGGCAGTAGCCAACAGACAGGAAGAGTCTTGAGTAGACAATCACCATGAGGCTTAATTCCTGACACTTCCCCTCAGATCCACTGGAAGAGAAAAGCTATAACAAAAGCAATTTTATGAGATACCACCTCCATGGCTCACCTCAGTAGCAGAGGAGCCTGGGAACCCTGGCCTGACACTGCAGCAGCCTTCTTGTCCATTTATCACGTCTTCCTCCTTTCATTTAGAATCCTGAAGTCCACATTCTTCCAGTTCACCAAGAGATTTCCTGTGAATGGCAATAAAGAATATAAACAAAACCGGGTACCAGTGGCTCACGCCTGTAATCCTAGCTACCCAGGAAGCTGAGATCTGAAGATCACGGTTCAAAACCAGCCTGGGCAGGAAAGTCCATTAGACTCTTATCTCCAACGAACCACCAAAAAGCCAGAAGTGGAGCTATGGCTCAAGTGGTACAGTACTTGCCTTGAGCAAAAGAAGCTCAGAGTCAGTGCCCAGGCCAACGTCAAGCCCCAGAACTGGCATTATAAAAAAAATACATACTCTTTTGTTTCCACCCAGACTTTAGGAATCCTCCTGTCAGAGATGGAGCCTGGGGGACCCGCGTCCACCTACAAGCTGGCCCCAGGCAAGGCAAGGCTGCACCAGGCGCTGTGTGTTCCGTCAGTGATCAGCGAGACGTCACCCACGCAGGTGCAGCTCAGATCCCCCTCGTGGTGTCCAGGTCCACAAACCAGACCACCGGCGAAAAGCAGCTCAAACAATGAAAACATTCTCCACCGAAATGTGAGCTCCCTGAGGAGCATCCAGATGCGGCCTGCTGCACCGCGGGACGAATGAATAAATGATGAGTGGATGAACGAATGAAGGATGAGCTTACAGACCTGCTCACACCGTAACCGCCAGTGAAAGACCAAAGGCAACAGGCCATCTGTCACATCATCAACACGTTGTTACGAGTATGATTTCCTCCCCTTTGGTCTCTGCTCCAGGACCGCCTCTCACGGGGTAGTCAATGCACCTATGGCCTCTGGAGTGGCTGGTGGGGGAGCTCCCCCTCCCCCCGCCCTTCAGTGTGCCCTGGCACCCTTCCTTGTGTCCCCAGGAAGTATGAGCTGGATTCAGAAAACCCTGCAAAGCCCTATTTTCACCCATGAGCATAAAAGAGCTCCCACAGGGAGCCCCAGCATTGACACCCAAGAAGCAAGCCAGCCCCCCAAGTCCTGTTCCCAGCCCATGGTGGTTCCCCTTCCCCAGACCTCAACTTCCTGATAGGCCCCTGCCCGCCCGGCTCCTCCTCGGGCTTCTTGAACTTTCCATACTTCACATCATGACACTTTGTTCATTCTCTCTTCAACTCTACTATGAAACTCACACTTGTCCCCCAAATCCTCATCAGCAGCACCCCGCAGCTCTCCCCTCGCTTTTGAGATCACCTGAGGAGGTCCGCCATATTACTGGACAAGACCCTTTCCCCCGGGGCAACAGGGGTGCGTGGGCTGTGGCTTCTTGGAGGTGAATGGTTTGACCCATAGTCTGTGGAGGCTGATGACCCACCTCCTGTGGAGAGCTAGAACCTTCCAAGTACAGGATCACCTTCCAACACTCCCTTTCTTACCCTGTCCATATTGTATCCGCTTCCCCACCCCCTGCCCCCAGCCACCACCACCACTGGTCCTAGGGCTGGAACTCAGGGTCTGACCTCCGTCCCTGGGCTTCTTTTGCTCAAGGCTAGTGCTCTACCGTGGTGCCACTGGCTTTTTTGGTAGTTGAATGGAGATAAGAGTCTCATGGACTTTCCTGCCTGGGCTTTGACAGGATCCTCAAATCCCATCCTCCTGAGTAGCTAGGACTGTTACAGGCATGAGCTACCAATGCCCAGCTGTATCATCTATTCTATGTGTCTAGACTGGAGGGAGCTGGAGGGCAGGAGCTCTGTCTGTTGCGCCTTTTCATTCCTTCCATAGCTAGTAGCTGTGTTTGCTGATTACGGTGTCCAAATCATCGGTAACTTCAAAAAGGGCTTCAGGGAACTTTTCCACCTTTTTTATTCCTAGAAAGAAAATGACTGGGGAGTAAAGAGATAAGCAAGTCATCCTTGAACACAAAGGACAACTGTGTGTGTAAATATATGATAGGAATAGTCATTCAAACATGAAATTGATCCTGAAGGACTCATAAACTAAGCTGTAGGTGATCTGAACGGCTTCTGTGAATTACCAGTCAATTAATTCTACTGACACCCTACAAGGAATGGTTTCTATTAAAGCTAGTTTGGAACCGCCGATGCTAAGTCATTGCCCATTAGCTACCTTCCCCTAACGTGGGAGTGCATCTAGCTACCGAGCCAGATGTGGCTGCGGCTTGTTCTGTTGCTGGTGATAAACCGCAGCTGGAAGGGATTATGCCTGAGGAGTGTGAACTTAGGGAGCTTATCTTTTCCTCTAGCCCCCAAGATACAAGAGAAGAGTCCCCAGAAAAAGAAGGAGAAGGAGGAGGAAGAGGAGGAGGAGGAGGAAGAGGAGGAAGAGGAGACGAGAGGGAGATCAGTAAAGCACAAAGGAAGAAGCCGACATTTTTGGCTCATTAGTACCAAATGGTGCAAGACCCTAAGTCCTCAGTGAGAAAAAAAAAATAGTCCTCAGTGAGTCAGTGAGGAAGGAGACTCCACAGAAGTCACACGCGCTCCTCACCCCAGCACAAAGGCACTCCGAGGAGTCCGGGGAGCTGCGTGGTGATATTGCTTCCTGGCACACACTCAGTGAAATGTAAATGTGTTGCACACGCCTGGCAGGCAGGGCAGTGTGAGACCCCTCCGCCCTCAGAGCCCTGTCAAGTGCAGTTCACAGGGAGCAAAATTAATGCTGTAAACGAGAGACAAAGTTCACTTATGAGCAGCTCTCTAATGGGCAATTACCTCTTCTCTTTGCCTTCACTGCTTCCCTCCCTCCTCCCGCCTTTCTCCCCCTAGTGCTAAGGACTCACAGGCAGGAGAGGATCCGAGCGAGACGGCAGTTTATTTAGTCTGCCTAAGAAGGCAGCTTTTATGCATTTCTGAGGTGTGTATAATTACAGGTGCAGTTAATGTGCTTAAGAGCTTAGGGGAAGCAGTTGTATATGAAAGATAACTTCCTAACAGACAGCTTCATTACTGCCGGCCTGGAAGTGCTGGGCTCCAGAATTATGCACACTTCTCCATGTTCCCACCCGCCTGGCCCCAGCCAGCTCTGCAAAGATGCTGTCTCCTGTTAAAAATATGTATAAATATCTATATATACATAATACACACATACAACTAGGAGTTCAGCAAGGCCCTGAGAGTCACACATATGCACAATACATGTCCTCCAATCTCACCGAGCTGATGGGTGTAGAGAGGTCCAGCCAAGGGTAGCTGGATGGAAGATCCAACCATTAACCCACAGAGTGACACTGACCCATGAGGGACAAGACTAGTGAGAACATAGCAATGAGAAGCTTCATTGTAGACATTTTTCCCATGCAAAGGTCACTGCAGTAGCCAGAAACTTCAGCCACTACCTCAACCCAGCTGGATATGCTGAGAGGACTGAGCACCAGTCAGCACCTGCTGATGTCTGTCCATTCATCCAGCAGGCTTCTCAACCAGACCTACTTCTCAAGCAGGTCCCTTCTCCACAGGGTGAGGAACCACCTCCTACCAAGGCAGGCTGAGCCACACAGGGAAAAGAAAGCAGATATGGCCACAGGAAGGACAATGTAGCTCCATTCTTGCAGGGATCCAAGTGCAAAGACTGACTCAAATGGAAGGAAGACCAGGAAGAATGGAGGGGGAAAAAAAGAGTTGAGAGCTGATGGCTTCCCGCCTGTTATCCTAGCTACTCAGGAGGCTGAGATCTGAGGATCATGGTCCAAAGCCAACCCAGGCAGGAAAGTCTGTGAGACTCTTATCTCCAATCAACTACCAAAAAAGCCAGAAGTGGATCTGTGGCTCAAGCAGTACAGCACTAGCCTTGAGCACAAAATTTCAGAGACAGCACCTAGGCCCTGAGTTCAAGCGCAAGGAATGGCACACACACACACACACACACACACACACACACACACACACAGTAATGAGAATATGTAAAACCAATAGTCACCTGATTCCTCCCCTCTCCTCTCTCTCTCTCTTTTTCACACACATACATATAGGAGTATGTGTATATGTGTGATTTGCACACATAGATTTGCCAACAATACATAACTAGAAAAACAAGACACAGAAGCTGAGAACAATATTCTGAGAGACACAGACTAAAGGGAGAACTCCCTTATGCCTTTCCAGACTGAGGCACAGTCTTGGGTAATACCAGAGCATAGTACTGGTGTGAATGGAAGCACAATGAACGATATCATCTCCTGATACTTACTACATGTTCTGGTTAAACTGGGGCTGCGCACACCCCATCCCTGTCCACACAGGTTGTTAACGGTCTGGGAGAAGCAACAGGCTGAGGCTGAGATGAGACTCGATGTAACCATTTACAGCCTTATTTTCCAGTCTCTTCTGATAATGATTCTGGAACTTTCTGGAGCCACACAGACAGTTCAGGTCCTACCATTACTTAAGTTCTTGGTCTTTTAACGTATTACTTGCCTACCAAAGGCCCGCTGACGTGGCTTCTCATCTGGCTCTCTCCCTTCAAATTGCTTTTGTTTTCATGACAGATCCAGCACTTCCTTCTCTCCTCATAGCCCATGCCAGCTTTCCCACTCCTAAAGTGTTATTTGGGTTAAGTATTATTTTTTTTTAATCTAGCATGACTATTTATACTGCTGGTGCCACAGAAAAACCACTGAATACTGGCTTTCTGCTTCTCTGTTTAACTTGTAGCTTTTGCCGTCAGTGTCACCTCGTGGTTCAAAACGACGAGCCACTGGACCTACAACTGACACGTCCACTTAGAAAGGCCAAAAGGGACTGCTCCCGGCGGGGCCAGCAGCCTTGCTGGAAGCTCTGCACAATTCCGCTTCAACAGAGCTGGTTCGAAACCTAGGCACAGCCAGCGCATTCCACAAGGAAAACCGGACCATCTGGCTTTTAACTTACTACAGTGTCACTCCACGTAAAATCAGGATGTTGTTATTAAGGACGATTCAAAAACAAAACTGGGTATTGGGAAGAGCTTAAATAAAGCACGTCCTCATTCCTTGAACAAGTGTTTATTGAGTGACTCGTCTGTGCAGAGGTCTTCTGCACGGTCTAAGCCTGGCCTAGCCCACAAGATGGCAAGCACCCTTCCCTCC